ATATTCCACTACCACGAGCAATCGGAGTGCACTGCACTCAAAGAAAACATACAACAACATGCTTGTGCCAGCAAAGTCAAGCTTTTCGGCAACTTTTCTCTTCCATATGCTGTGCCTCAGCTCATGCAACTCATAAAATATTAAAGCAAAACTATACTTAGGAAAAAACCCATTCATGTTTTTGGTGGGTTCCACACATATATAGCCTGACATTCTTCGGCCAGGGACCAGCCTTGGGTCCCATAAAGTTACATCATGATCATCATTATGCACCCACTATTTAATCAAAAATGGCTACACTCTTGCAACTTAAGAGTTGAGGAATGAGCTATAAGAATATTAATAGATTATGAAAACAACATACATGGGCAAAACATGTGCGTTTACTTCACTATCCCTTGTGAGCCTTTGGAATTTCATTTCATTGAAGAGCCATGTCCTCCTCCTTCCAACTTTCCTTCTATTTTAGGCTTACGCCAAAGAGAAACTTCAAGCTGCCTCTGTTTGTAGGGAGAGGAATATTCACATAATCCCCACATATTATTAGGTGGTCATATAGTTTTTACCAAGATCCAATATAAATGCGTACATAAACAAAAGCAACATTGTTAATACCCTGGGAAGAAACTTACTTTCTATGCTTTGGTTATGTTTTTCAGGAGTAGATCCACGATGGAAATGGAGTCATGCGTGCCACCAGGCTTTAGATTTCATCCCACTGAGGAAGAACTAGTAGGTTATTACCTCAGGAGAAAGATTAACTCTCTGAAAATTGATCTAGATGTTATTATCGACATTGATCTTTACAAGATGGAGCCATGGGATATCCAAGGTATTGTATTAATGAATTAAGCAACTACATATGATGTGTAACGTATATATATATGACAGAATCATGAGATTTTGGAAAGTTTTTACTACATTTTCATTGGTTTCTTTATTTTTTGATTTGAACCAATCAGAATTTAACTTGGCAGAAACCTATTGGCCTTAGGGTTTGAAATTTGGAAAAGGAAATATGAAAAGCACTCCTTTTTTAGTCCACTTTTCCGTTAGTCGTCAACTAATCAATATCACCATGCCATGCCATACATTTACAAGTTGATAGGATTATGATGCAGATTAGAAGAAATGTAGTAATACCTAATGAACCAAGGGCACCAGGAAAATGACTGCTTTAAGTGGGGTTCTGGTTGATTTCCAAAGCCAGCTTTGACAATGTTTTTTCTTGGCGTTTTGCAGCTAGATGTAGGCTAGGGTACGATGAACAAAGCGAGTGGTACTTCTTCAGTCATAAAGACAGGAAGTATCCAACAGGAACACGGACTAATCGAGCCACTGCAGCTGGATTTTGGAAGGCAA